TCCGCACTTTGTCGAAATGCGTGGGTGAAGCAATTTCTTTCAGAGAGCCATCTTAGCCACTTGTTTCCTGGATAAATTATTCATTCATGGCCTGCGATTCATGACTTCTATTTTAACAGTCTTGTGTTGACTGTTTATGATAGTCCCATTAAAGTAATGCCGATAATTGGAACACTTCTCGTGATTCCCTTTCTCACATTGTCACTATCACCACGGTTCTCTGGTCCACCTCTGTTTTTCACATAGTCATAAGGACACGTTAACCAAAATATACCGTTTTTGCCTTAAGCTTTAAGCATGTCAGGGCGGATTTACTTAGCCCAGTAGCGTCGCCACTTTTTAGGCCAATAACAGTTTCGCGACTTCATCTAGTACAAGACCGGCATACGTTTCCTGATGCTCTTCAGGAGAGTTTCCCTGTACTAGTATTGGTTTAACAAGCTCTTTCTCGCCTTCCATCGCTGACGCATATCATTTTTGTTGGGAAGAAGGCATTCAGATTTTCGATATGGACTCTTGGACTGTCCTTCTTACCATTTCGACTCAAGCATCTCAGCTAAATTTTCTGAGGAATTGACCTTCTGTTTTCTGTTTCAAGCTGCAACTATGGGCGCTTCTTCGTTCAGCATTTGAGTCGAAGGACCTTTGCTTCCAAGCAGCATTTTTAATGCAACCTTCTTGCTTGCAACCAGTTGGATTTTTACGTCCATCTGGAGGTTCGTTCTGAAGATCAGGCGCCAGTCTAACACGTTTGAAACCATAACATTCTGCAGCAGTGCCTAGTAAGTGCTTTCACTCGATTTCCTCGTTAGCTATTATCAATGTTCAAACCGTCGTGCGAGTTGGTTTCCTAATTTGTTCATCATACACAGAAGATTGTTTTTCTCTGAATCTTTAGTTATTTCTCTAATTTTCTAATCTCGAGGTCCTCACATGGTGTAGCATGGTTTGCAGCGGAAGCTTCCCCCAGCCAGGTGGGATAAGGATGCATGAACGCAAATGTTTATGCGTTTTTCATGCGTCTGTTACATTGAATATTATCATAGAATTTTGTCATCTCCCGCATAAGAAACTCATTTCCTTAAGTTAGCATATATACATGAATTTTTAAATTGGTGAGATATAGATAATTCAGTTCACTAGACAACACTTGACACGGAAGCGATGACCAATGACCTAATAATATTGCCGTAAAAATCACCAATCAGTGCATTACCAGATGACTGCCGGTTTCTGTGATGTCGAATGAGATGTACAGTAATGTCGACCAATTTTGTTATCTCGATGTTTTTTGCCGCCTGTCAGAGTTAAGTCAAAACCGGCACGATTCAATTCAAGATTAAGGTGAGGAGACAAATTGTAAGGGCATGAATGCACGTGACATCCATCCATGTCAGCAAAAATGGGGC